GGAACCCACTGCATCACCTCTGAATGAGGTGACTAGCAAGAAGGCCGTTCGCACCCAAGGGTTGCAAACTACGGTTGAAAAAGGCGGTGCAGTTCGCATTGTCAAGCAGAAGCAGCGTGGCAACATGCCCCAGACAACGGAGGAGCTTCGTACCGTGTTGCGCGTTGAGGCTAACACTTACTGCTTCATGGCGGGCAAGTTTCGCAACAAGGCTTTCTTCAAGGACATGTCGCCTGAGCCTTGGGTTGACTTCGCCAACTACCTTTTGGGTGAGAAGGTCTACTTGATGAAGATTCCGGTCCCCTCCACGGGGGGCAAAGGGACGGAGCAGACTCCGGTGAGGCCCCCTTGGCAGGTTCTCTTGACCTACGAGCACGAGATCCGCAAGGAAGCCATCAAGCGTGCCTACCAGGGCTCTCAGCCGCTGGCTGAGACGCTCATCGCGGTGATGCGGGATCCTCAGATCAAGGAGCAGTACTTCACTTCGCCCATTGCATTGCAGAACTTTGCCAACAAGCGGGAATGGGCTGCTGATGCCCCGTGGGAATCTTACAAGTGGAGCCGTGGCCGAGGTTTCCCGTACAAAGGCGGGAAGGACGGCAAGGATGGCAAGGACGGCAAAGGCGGCAAGAAAGGCGGCAAGGACAAGGGAGGCAAGAACCCGGGGAAGCGCGATGGCAAATCCGAGTACTCCTTGATGAGCCATACTGCTGACGGAAGAGAGATCTGTTTCGCCTACAATGCCCAAGGCTGCTCAGGGGGATGCGGACGCGTCCATGTTTGCCGGGTTCGAGGTTGTAATCAGCCCCATCCTTTGTGGGAACATTTCGCGAAGCTCAGCATCTCCGACAAGGACGAGAAGCGCGAGACGGGGGCTCGCAACTGACATGGATCATTGCGTGTGCTCTCGCTTTTCTTTGGCTCTTCGGGCGGAGATGTGCATGCGTGGCTTTCAAAATTTTCAGACAGTGACGGTTTTCAGCTTGAGATGATTCAACTGGGTGCCGATTCGGCCTCCCCTAACGATCTTCGTACTCAGGCTCCCTGGGATCGCATTTGTTCCGAGCTCGCGTCTGGCAGATGGGACGTTCTTTTGATGTCACCGCCGAGCTCTACGTTTTCGCGTGCACGTTACAGGCACAACGGTCGCAATGGCCCTAGGCCACTGCGAGATGTGAATTACCCTTGGGGCTTTCCTTGGTTGCGTAATGCTGATAAGGATCGTGTGTCAGAGGAGAATTTTCTTTTGAAGCAATGCTTGAGGGCTGCAGCTGCACAGAATCAGGCCGGGCTCTTTTGGCTGTTTATACACCCTGAGGATCTCGGTCTTGCTGCATCAGGCTTGCGACCAGCTAGCGTATGGCAACTTTCGGAAATGCGAGCTCTCATTCCTGAGGATGGCTGTAGTTTCGCATTGCATCTTTGCATTTTTGGTGCCGCTTCTGCGGCACCTACACGTATCGCCGGGCACCTACCTTCGTGGAAACATCTGCAAGTTCAGTGGCCTTCTTTTGATTCAGGTGGCAATTACTTAGGACCCCTCCAAAGGTGCCTCTTGCATGACCATGCATCTTCGGTCGGCTGGGACGGGCAAGCTTGGCGCACAGCTGCTGCCTTTCCAGATGCATTTTCAGAGTTTGTTGCACGGGCCACATCTTCGATGTCGTCACAGACGTTCGCAACTGATACCTTAGCATTGCCTGAGTTGCCGCATGCTGCCGAATCATTCGCTTTGGAATTGTTGGCTCATTCCGAGGTGAGTGCACAGGAACTGGCAACTTTGTACCATCTGCTGCCGCATGAGTCGCCACATGTTGGTGCTCAGGCTGATTCGGGCTCTGCTTTCTTCACAGGTGCTTACACACATGGTGGAGTGGTGGGGCTCCGCTCAAACACCAATGCTTTCCCTCATGCCACCAAGGTCCTTGTTCGATTCCTTCACAGGGCGTGCGAGACTTTTGAGTTTTCATCATGTGCTCTTTTCTTCAACGTTGCAACAAGGCCGCATCGTGACGCTCGGAATGCCAGCAGCACAAACTTGGTGGTTCCGGTCTCGTCTTTTGAAGAAGGGGACATCTGGTGCGAGGACCCGGAAGGTACAACACCTTTTCAGGTGGATGATGCTGTGCTCCTGGGCAAGTGCCTCCCTGTGTCTCAGGGACCCGTCATTCTTGATGCCAGGGATCGTGTGCATGCCACCATGCCTTGGCATGGTGACCGGCTCATTGCTATCGCTTACAATGTCTCCAAAGCAGAGGGTTTGCGGCCGGGGCACAGAGACACATTGCTTTCTCTTGAATTTCCCTTGATGCCTCCGGTTTCAGGCCTGGCAAGCGAGGGGGTCATTGAGGCCTCCAAACCGTCACAGGCTAGTGGGGGTCTTCCTGGGTTTCCTTTTGTTGCTGGGGCTCACGTAGGCACCCCCCAGGAGGGGACCACTCCTGGGGCCCCGGTTCCTTCGGTTGTGCCCGCTCTCCCCGTGTCTCGTGAGCCCCTTTCGGGTTCGGGGGCTNNGCTGCTGGAGAGGTCGTAGAGATTCCCTCGAGTGGCGAGGAGCCGAGTCGAGATAAGGACGAGTCGCCGGGGTTAGATGGACCGGATCAGGTAGCCCCCTTTGACCCTGCTTCGAGTAGGTGCTTTGGTCCGCCCATTGTGTGTAGGCATGATCCAGTGAAGTCTCAGTTCAATGATGGTTTTGGGCTTTGCTCTCCAGGTCGATGGAAACCTCAGGCTCGCAATCGAACAGCTTTCGAAGCCGAGAGGAAACATTGCGAGAGCATCCGCTTGATACTTGAGCAGCTTGTTTCGGAAGAAATTGGGGATGTTAGGCTTAAGGCTTTTCAGCTTGCAACGGGGCAATTGAAGGAGTCGCCTTTCTCCCAGGAGGCATTACATTCTGCGAGGAGCCGAATTGCCGCNNCTCTTCTTCCAGATCCTCAGCAGGCTCTGGTATGTCCGGAGCGCCAACCTTTCTACTTGTATCTTCTGGCACAGTCTTTGGAAATCATGGGCGATCCGGATCATGAGATACTTGTGCAGGGCGATGAGTCATT